ATCAAGGCTCTGGAGAAAAGCGTGCAAGACAACAACAGTTGGGTGAGAGCACGCTTCCTCGAGCTGGTGGAGCCAGACGACGTAGCCCTTCTGGACAGGGGGGAGGAGGCAATGATCCAGAAGGAATTGGAGCGGGAGGAAAAGCTCCGAGGACCGTCCGGATGGAAAGGAAAAGGCCATTGGAAGGGCAAAGGGGAGCACGAATTCGGAGCCAAGGGCCAAGGCAAGGGGAAAGGAAAGAGCAAGGAGAAAGGAAAGGGGAAGACGCCGGCCGAGGACGCTGCCGAGAGGAAGTAGATGGTGGCGCCTTGGCAAACCGAATCCCAGCGGAACCCAGTGAACCCCCAGACCCCAGAGGGGAGCTTCAGCGGAAGCGAAAGTCCGAAAAGGATGTTGAGTCGCCCGAAGGTGAAGTGGCATCTTCGGAGGAATATGAAATTGAAGAGGAGGCCTTGAACAGGTTGTGGAAGAAGCATAGACAAAAGTTTGAAAGAAAAAATGGCAGGGTTTCTTGCAGAGGAACGGGATGCATTGGAAGTGGCCTGGCATGTGCTGGAAAATGCTGGGCAGCTCAGGACAAAGTTTGGCAGGTTTCGGACGACTTTGGGTCAAAAGGCCACAGCCCGAGATGCCCCTGAGGGCCCCGATCTCCTGCCTATCTCGTTAGATGCCCTAGAGCTACGCCGGGACATTCAGTCGGAAGTTCGGGCGTGTGTCATATTGATGGCTTGGGCATTGAACTTCTTGTACTGCACAGGCTGGGAGCAACCACGCCACATGGATCATCCCGGGAAGCTGACTACGGCGCAAACCAAGATGGTTGATCAGCACTTGGTGCCCGCGGTGAGGCGCATGTGCCCGAAGGGATTGAAGATCCCATCTTATCAGAAACTAAAGGAGCAGCTGCAGAAGAAAGGCTACGGTTATGATGGATCTAGTTGGGTGGTGATGGAAGACCTTGCAGCCGACAAAGTGATTCCATGTTGGCCTAACAAGGGGGAACATCACCAAATTCTTACATGGTGACACAAAGGAGATGGTAAACAAACCACTGCTCACCATCCTTCCGGCGGAAGAATGGCCAGAGACGGTACCCCAGTCGTATGTGCGGGCCTCGAATTCTGAGTGGGAGAGGCTCGTGGCAGAGGGGTTATCAGCTAGGTCTTTTTCAGCCTTGCCCGGAGGAAGAGATCTTGAGAAGCCCCTCCGGTGAAATGATCCTGAATGGGGCCGGAGCAGTCCCAAAAGGGGGGAAGATTTATATCTATTTTATGTCCGTTGAATGCGGTGAGCCGCAAAATTGAAGGAGATGAGTCGACCTTGCCCTATGTGGGCCAGGTGGGGCTTTGTGAATTGGAGGCCGAAGGAGCCATAGTTATAGACAGTGAGGATTTGCAGTCGGCCTTCAATTTGTTTGAGATGCCACGGGGATGGCGTGGCATGTTCGTGTACCGCAAGCAGGTGAGAGGAGGAGTCCTTGGCTTGCCTCACGATGAGATGACATGAGTGTCGCTGAGGACGGTGCCTATGGGATGGCTCTCCGCAGTGGGGATTGTTCAACAAGCCATCAGGACTCTCGCGTTTGAGGAAGCTGGACTCCCCAGACAGTTTGAAATTCAAAAGAACAAGGAGCTCCCTGGGGGAGAACGCTTCTTACTTTACTTGGACTCGGTGGATCAGTTGAGGCCGGTCAGCCAAGCAATGAGAAAGGTAGTGGAAGGACAGGCGAGCCCTGAGCACCAGCGTTTTGAAGAGGCATGCCGGCGGTGCGGATTGCCTACCAATATGAGCAAGCGTTTGGCGGGGGCCCTAAGAGGAACCCTACAGGGGGGGTCTCCTTGATGGAGAAGCAGGGGTGTTCATGCTGCACCCGGACAAAGGGGCCTTTACAATCGGAGCTTGCATGTGCCTGCTGGGATCCCGGACATGGGAAACTAGAGTGGTGGCAGGGCTCACAGGGCGATTGGTTTTCGCCGGTGCATTTCGAAGGCCAGCCATGTCACTGATGAGCGAGGTGTTCCATTACTTCGGCAACAAGCCTACATCCAAAGTGGCAAAAGATGATGCCTACGATGAGGTCT